GGATGTTTACCCATAAGTTAATCAAGGGGGACACAGCCCAAGATATTCCTGCTTGAGCCAGAAACAGATCAACTTAGCTCAGCCTTACATAACTATTACAAATAATATGAACTACATACTATTCTATTACATATTACCTCTGGAACCTTGTTTATTTTTAACCACTACAGTTTAAAATGCTGCCAATATAGAAAACGACCGGCCTTGTCCCTTAACGTGTAATATTCAGGTGTCGGTCGTCTCATGATCCGTCTGTGGCTATGATCCATTGCAAACTCAAAGATAAGCAGAAATATGAGCATCTCAGCAGCTTTCTTCTGACTCCTGTTAGTAAAACCAAAAGGCACAAGTAAAACTCATTTCCCCTGCTCTCAGTAGTGAAACAGGAGTTAACCCCTGCAGTCCACTTCCTGCTGTGGTAGCCACCAGAATAAACTGCAAACAACAGAGAAGTTTGGTTTGGCAACAAATAACAACCGCTTCTGTGACATCAGCATGTTTAAATGTAGACTGGGACAGATTATTCTGGTAGACACAAACCTGAAAGAGGAAGCTGAGTATTTCCTGGATTGGTCTCATCTCCCAGTCCATTTTCTCAGCATTAACAACTAAACCAGAAACCACTTCTTACCTTCAAACTGGGATCAGGACTCTTTGTCTTTCTCCTGCTCTGATTAAGGTCAGGAGAAAACATGTTTGCTGGGAAATGGAACCCACTCCTGCACATCAAAAGGTGTGTTTGTTAATCAGCCTGAAGCATGCCGCTGTTCTGTCACATTATGCTGCCTATACTCACAGCGGTTAGGGTGAGGGATGGGGTGGGGTTAGTCAATCCATCGACTGAGGTAACATCTCAACAGCGGCAGCCACACAGGCAGGCAGGGACAGCAGAAATACAGGTCAGCAGGTCTGGCTACTACTGCTAGCATTGAGATACTGATAACATTACTATTACTAACACACAACTACACACACAAATAATAAAAATGAGCAGCATCTTTGTTTCTTAAAGATGTAAAATATTTTATTTTTTCTGTAAATGATTCTAAATCAATTCCACATTTTCCCCAAAAACAGTCATCATCATCATCATCACACCCTGTTTACATCCAATAAAAAAACAAATGCTGGGCTTCCTGTACACATCAGCAGAGTCCAGATAAAACCTCCTATGTACATTACACAAAGTGACCCTGACGCCTGCAGCCAAAACGCCAGGTGAAGAAAATGCCAAAAAAAAAAGGAAAAAGGTGAAGGCTGCAGTGAGGCCTACCCAGTGCAAGGGGGCTTTTGAGTCTGTTCACAGTCTCTTGTCCAATCAGAATTCAGCACCTCGCTACTGGAACAGAACAACACATTTCAAACTGAACATCGGCAGGTGATGAAGGTGAGGATGAAGATGTTAATGTAGCACTAAACCTTTTGTTTGATACAGATATTTACATGCTGCGACTCAGGACCTCGAACTCACTGTGGTTTTAAAAAATAGCTTCATTCCGTAATAAATACAAAAAAAAACAAAAAAACAAACAAAAAAAAGACAATCTTTATTTTACAGGAAATTAACAAAAAGCAGGGGGAAGAGGAGGAGGAAGGAAGTGACTCGTGGAATCAAGTATGTTTCCGGAAATTTCTTTTCTTTTTTAGTGCAAGTTTGTGGATAAACCTCTGTTTGAATATGACACATTCGGTCACTTCAGTGGTGTTTACACACATTTAAAACCAATGTACACACACAGAGGACCAGCCTCTTCGTTAGTCCTGTCCCCTCACCTCGACCACCCCTAGCCCCGCCCACCCTGATATAAAGCCTCATTATTACCTCAGTTCAAACTTGTATTGATTGCATTCACTATTTTTATTCTAATATTTTCTTCTGAGATAAAGCTCCACCCACAAGAGGAGTGGACGATCGATATCCGGCTTCAGCAGCGACATGAAAGTGAAAGAGTTCAGTTCATCCATTTGCGGCAGTTGACAGCACCACAGTGACACGGGATCTTGTGCTGGTCATCCTCGAGGTCAAACTTGTAGTCGTAGCACAGCTGAGAAAGAGAGATCCATAACAGGTAAATCAACACGACCAATCGGTTTATTGATATGTGATGTCGCACGCGCCCCTGAATGGATTACTGAACCTAGCAGGCTCTGGTAGGGCATCAGGACTCTGTAGGGACTGTTCATCTTTCTGTGGGAAAGTCAATCAAGTGGCTGCTAAAGCCCCAAAATGAGGAAGAAAAAGTAGATGTACAGTATAACAACAAAAAGATGAAGCCACTAAAGAGACAAAATGACTATAAAGACGCACAAAACCACCACAATGAAACTCAAATCCACTGAAAAGAACACTTTTGGCACTTTAGTGTGATCAACCGATCGACTGGCGCAGTACCTCTTCTCCTCTCTGGATGCGTCGGCAGGAGCTGATGATGATCTTGTTCTCCTTCTCTACGTTTACCACCTCTGTGATACAGTTGGGAGCGCATGAGTGGTTGATGTACCTGTCAATCATACACAGAGGGCGGTGTTCATTTAGGGCTGGAAAAAAAAACAAAAAAACGAATTGATAAATTTAACATTTAAAACCACTTTGAACCAGTTGGAGTCACCTGGCAGGTCCTCCCGTGATGGTGGCATCTATCACATAGTCATTGTCAATCCGGAACATGTACACACCGCGGTTCTACAATATTAAAAACAACGTTAAAATCATCAAACAGGCGACAAAGCTTTCCTGCCAGAGCAGGTCGGTTACCTGAGACTCGTACAGCCTCTCCTTACGATTGGCTACTTCGCTCCTGATGATGGTGCCAATGTACTCGATGACCATGGTGCATTTTTCAATGTCTCGGGCAGCATATAGACCCAGTCCCTGCACAGACGCGTGCAAAACACAGTCATTCAATCAATTGGTGACTAGTCCATCTGTCAGCAGCAAACATCCACAAAGAGACAAAACTGTAAAACAAAACTACAGAGACACGTGAATAGACTACAAAGACACACAAAATAAAAAGGCATTTTCAGCCTGAGACTTCGTCCACTTGGACCCAGATAAGCAGCTGAAACCTGAAGCTGGATAAACCAGTTAAAAACCAATTAGGCACTCCGCTGTCAATCAGCCACAGCTACTGCACAGCACCAGTACACACACAGTGTTCCAGGTCAGTCTGTGGTCCCGGGTTTGAGTCTCACCTGGATCCGAGAGCGTGCCAGGTACACGTTGCTCTTCCACTCGGCCTTCATGCGTCGGTACTGGGATGACTTGGAGTGGCGTCCCTGGTGGGCACTGGCCACGAACTCGCCTGGGGACAAGGAGATGACGCCGGGAACGAGGCCCACAATAGAGCCAACTGTGCCCTGGCACCTGGGGGCGATGCTTGTCAGCAGGTAAGGTCTGAGTGTTAGCAACAAAGAAAATTATCAAAATTGTTTATCTATAAATGTTTTATCAAATGCCACTGACTCTGGAAAACTGTTGACAAATGAATTACTGTCTGCTCTCATGCACAGAAAGCACTTTGTTTACAACAAGCACAGAGGCCTAGAGGAACACATTGGAGAAGACAAAACTTAAAAACAAAAAATTAAACAATGCTTTAAAAAAAACAACTATACATTCAATAGAATTGTAACAAACAGCTCATGTGTTTTAGCTGTCTACTTGATGCACTTCCGTTTAGTGTCATGTGCCACAAAGAAGATCATCCAACCCTGTAAATTTTAATGCTGGAACCTGAGAAAGTTTGTCCCATTTATCCAAAAAAATGGGACAAACAAAGTTTACTCCAATACTGCATTAGCATAGGATCAACATCCGTGTGAATCTTTTGCAGATGCTTTTGGCTTCAAAAAATGTATTATCTCATTCTCCTGTCACCAGTTTTGATCCCAAATAATAACCCAGTGTATAACTTTAACAGCAAACACTATTCTATTCTATTCTATGTTCACATCAACAGCCTTTAATGCTTCAATTCCAGTGATTTCACTAGTGATGTTACCTCTTGGCTTGACAGGCTTTGGGCTCAGACCGGGCAGAGCCAGAAGGATTGAAGGCCAGAGGCCATTCCATGAGAGGGTTCCTGCCATAACGGAAGGTGTAGTGCTCACAAGCCTCCACACCAGGTAACTGTCCAAACACACAGAGAACACAGGGTCAGTCAGTTTAGCATCCGTTAGTGTCACACTAAGCTACTTAGCCTGTTAACATCACACTTGATAGGTTACATTGAGCTAGACAGCCTGTTATCATCACACAAAACAAGTTAGCTGTGTTTGTGTTTAACGTACAGACTCAATGATTCTGGCCACAGCTGATGTGGTCAGACCAAACAGATCCTCTCCTTTCAGATAAACTGGGAAGAGCTTCAGAGTCCCACTGGAGGACCTCATCTGTGACACTGGCTCCAAGATCTGGTCCCACACAGCTGCAGACAGACAGGTTCAAACACGCTACACTTCACAGAGCCATATGTTTATTTTTTGTTTGCTTTTTTATAGGTAACCTCACTCGGGTGTGTTTACCTTTGGGTGTGGGTCCAGTCAGTACAAGGTCCTCGTATCCCTTCTCCACCACCTTGACTTTAAACAACGGCTGACCTTCCTTCTCCTCGATGTAGCACATATACTTACTGCGTCTGCAGAAGTGGGAAAAAAAACTTGTCCAGTAATGGGTTCACAGATAAATCACCTGCTCATCATGGATCTGAGTGAGCTCACCTGTTGCTATGGCGCATGCTCCAGTAGATGCGGTTGGCATGGTAACTGACAGGGAAGATGGCAGTCTCGTTGTGGAAGGCACTCATCTGCTGTGGGAGAAGGCGTCCAACAGCACGGAACAGCAGGCTGCCAACACGGAAGGTGTGCTGGCGCTCGCCACGCTGCACCACAGCAGCAATCTGCCGTGCCTCATCCCGCTGAACGTACACCCGGCGGAGCACGGCGAAACATCGGAGCTCTGAGTCGTATGGGTCGGAGGCCGCTGCAACTGCCGGGTCGGTGAGGGTCTGGCCCGGAGTGGAGGAGGGGGAGCTGCTGGAAGACCTGTCCCCGCTGAGAGGCACCATCCTAGGCTTGTGGAGGTGACAGAGCATCGTCTTATCCTGAAGGAGACACTGCACTTAGCATCTGAGCTAACAAACATCTGTATCCACAGTGTTTTACAGGGTGTTACCTTGAAGAAAGTGCAGTGGGCCTGCAGCGCACAGGTAAAGTGGTAGGTGTTGGTGCAGCGAAGACGGTTGCAGCCGCTTGTGGCTCCAGTCTGCTGACAGTGGGCACAGCGCAGAGTCAGACCCCGTCTCAAAGCCAGCTCCACATTAATCAGGGCACCGGCCTGGGTCTCATACACTTCACTGGACCACAGAGCACAGTTCAGGTGGACCTGAGACCCAAAGACAGACTGGTTAATTCACTGAGGCTCTGTCAGTCTGGAATACCATCAGAGGCTCTGCCAGTCTAGACTACAGCCCAGCAGACTCACCCACAGGTCCAGATCTAGGTTCA